CCGTCCTCGCTCTGTACCTCCTCGTCCTTTTCCTCCTCGCCCTTCCCCGCGCTGCCCGCGGAACTGTGCCCGGCTTCCTGAGCACGGCCCCGAGCTACCAATCGGCGGCGCGCCGAGGGGGCAGGCCTTCTCGGAGGGCGGCGGGCGGTGGGGCCTCCTAGAAGCCTTGCGTCCTTCTGAGAGGCCCCCCTCCTCCTTCTCCTCCTCCTCCTCCTGCTCCTCCTCCTCCTCCTCCTCCTCCTCCCTCCCTCCTCCGCTTCGGAGAGGGCTCAGAGAGCTTCTCGGAAGGCTCCTGAGCGTTCTGAGAAGGGCCGCCCCCTTCTTCTGCCTTGCCCCCCCGGCGCGCCGCCGAAACAGCTCGTCGCTGCAGCTTCTGCGCCCCCCGACGTGGGGGCCGCCAGCCGCCCGCGCCGAGGCAGCACGGCGAATCCTCGGGCGCGGGCGGCCTCCGACTTCGCGGGCCTCCCTCCCTGGGGCCTCCGAGGTGATGATCGTGGGCACGGCCGGCATGCGGATGCTGGACAAGGAGGCCGCCCCTTCGTCGTCCTGCTCCCCACCCCTCGCCTGCGCCGCTTCCCGAGCTCGCCTTCCTCCTCCCTCCTCCGCCTCATCGTCCTCCGTCGTCGTCGTCGTCGTCGTCGTCGTCGTTTTCGACGTCGACGTCGTCGTCGTCGGCGTCGTCGTCGTCGTCCTCCCCTTTACCCTCTGTCTCACGCTCGCCGCTCACCTGGCCCCGTGAGGTGCAGGACAGGATCTGGAAGGCGGTGCGCGACGGGATAATGGCCAAGGACACGGCGGCCCGCCGCGCATCCTAGCGCCAGATCAAGGGGGACGAACAACTATCCGGACCCGATAATTGGCGTTTACTAAACAGCCCTACCCTGTTCGATTCCTTTTTTGGGTGCGTGTACTAAAGGGCTTCGCTTGTCGGGGTGGTTATTATGGGGGTGGATTTTTTGCCCTCTTCCCGAGAAAGGAGGTGGAGGAGGGGCATGAGGAAGAGCAGAACGAGGGGATGGAGCAAGGGGGAATGATGAAAGATCCTGAGAGACCCTCGAAGATTCCGCGGAGCCCCAAGGGGAATCAGTGGAATCCTGAGTGAGTCGAACGAGTCTCGTAAAATCCTTGGTGGCTCTGGGCGAGCGGGAAGAATTCCAGAGAGTCCTGAGGCATCCTGAGGCATCCTGCAAGACACGGGCTGGATTTTCAGGAATTCCCGAGGGCTCCCAGGGGAGTGCTGCGGATGCCGAAACCCTGAGGATTCCCGATGGGGCCGTGGTCTTACCATTACCTGCGTGCGGTAGTCTGAAAAGGGTTTGTATTAGTATCGCACCAGGGAGTGCAGCGTTTCTATTAGAAGCGAGTCAGTTCGAAACGTCACCCCCAGGGTGCGGAGGATTGCTTTGTATCTGTGCTTCAATTGTACAGGATTTGTATTGGTATGTGTATTGTACAAGTACGGTAACTTGTGTAGCATTGGATATGTTTTGTGCTATATTCGTATTGTGTCGGGTTGGTATGATCGTTGTATTGCTCCTCAATCAGTGCTTGCACTGAGGGGTCCTAGCGGAGATTGATGGGTTTGGCGAGAGTTCCGGGCTGACTTCGGTAGGCAGCTGGGTTCCCGGGTTCCCAGTTCTGGGTTTCGGGGTTCCCAGTTTCGGGTTCCGGGCCTTCTCTGGTGTAATTTGTGTAATCGGTGAGCCCGATCCCGAGCCCGAGCCAGAACCCTTGATCCTTTACACTGTAGTTTTACAGTGCGCGCAAGTACCGCTTAACCCTCGTAGTCGTAGTAGTCGTAGTAGTCGTAGTAATCGTCGTAGTTGACTTAGTATTTCCCCAATCAGAGCTTGCCTCTGTAGGGGTCCTAGCGGATTCATATGGTTAGGTTAGGTTTGCCGTCGATTTTCGCCGCACGCCCCGGTGCCCAGTGCCCTGGGGTGCCCGGGTGCCCGGGTGCCCCGGTGCCCAGGTGCCCGGGCGTGCCGGGGGGTGGCGGGGGGTGCCTTAGCCAAATAGCCCTATAGCCCTATAGCCCTATAGCCCTATAGCCCTATAGCCCTATAGCCCTATAGCCCTATAGCCCTATAGCCCTAAGCTCTATAGCTCTAAAGCCTTATAGCCCTATAGCTCAATAGCCATATAGCCCTATAGCCGTATAGCCCTATAGCTCCATAGCCCTATAGCCCAGTAGCCCAATAGCCCTATAGCCCTATAGCCCTATAGTCCTGTAGCTCTATTACCCTGTAGCCCAATAGCCCTATAGCCCTACAGCCCAAAAAAGATTATGATTCCCCACTCAGAGCTTGCCTCTGTAGGGGTCATAGCGGATTCATTCCCCAATCAGAGCTTGCCTCTGTAGGGGTCCTAGCGGATTCATATGGTTAGGTTAGGTTTGCCGCCGATTTTCGCCGCACGCCCGGGTGCCCGGGTGCCCGGGGGTGCCCGGGTGCCCAGGGGTGCCCGGGTGCCCAGGGGTGCCCGGGGGTGCCCGGGTGCCCGGGTGCCCGCGGGTGCCCGGGCGTGCCTGGGGGTGCACTGGGGTACCCGGGTGCCCTGGTGCCCAGGTGCCCGGGCGTGCCCGGGGGTGCCTGGGGGTGCCCGGGGGTGCCCTATAGCCCTATAGCCCAGTAGCCCAATAGCCCTATAGCCCTACAACTCTATAGCCTTATAGCTCTATTACCCGATAGCCCAATAGCCCTATAGCCCATATAGCCCTATAGCCCTACAGCCCTAAAAAGATTATGATTCCCCAATCAGAGCTTGCCTCTGTGGGGGTCCTAGCGGATTCATTCCCCAATCAGAGCTTGCCTCTGTAGGGGTCCTAGCGGATTCATATGGTTAGGTTAGGTTTGCCGCCGATTTTCGCCGCACGCCCGTGTGTGCCCGGGTGCCCGGGGGTGCCCGGGGGTGCCCGGGGGTGCCTGGGTGCCCGGGTGCGCGCGGGTGCCCGGGCGTGCCTGGGGGTGCCTGGGCGTGCCCGGGGGTGCCTGGGGGTGCACTGGGGTGCCCTATAGCCCTATAGCCAGTAGCCCAATAGCCCTATAGCCCTACAACTCTATAGCCTTATAGCTCTATAGCCCTATAGCTCAATAGCCCTATAGCCCTATAGCCCTCTAGCCCTATAGCCCTGATTGGGTTTCTTCTCCGGTATCATATGGTTAGATTAGGTTTGCCGCCGATTTTCGCCGCACGCCCGGGTGCCCAGGTGCCTGGGGGTACCCGGGTGCCTGGGTGCCTGGGTGCCTGGGTGCCCGGGTGCCGGGGTGCCCGGGTGCCTGGGTGCCCAGGTGCCCGTTTGCCCAGGTGCCCAGGTGCCCAGGTGCCCAGGTGCCCGGTAGCTCTATATATAGCCCTATAGCCCTATAACCTTGTAGCTCTACAGCCCAAATATCCCTATAGCTCAATAGGCTTATAGCCCTATAGCCCTATAACCCTATGGCCCTACAGCCCCATAACCCTACAGCCCAATAGCCCTATAGCCCTATGGCCCTGTAGCCCTGTAGCCCTATAGCCCCATAGCCTTCTAGCCCTATAGCCTTCTAGCCCTATAGCCTTATAGCCCCCTAGCCCTAAAACCCGAAACATATGATGGTTGTTTTTTTTCTCCAGTATCATAATATTCGTAGTAGTTGTAGTAGTGGTAGTGGTAGTAGCAGTAGTAGTAGTAGTAGTAGTAGTAGTAGTAGTAGCAGTAGTAGTAGTAGTAGTAGTAGTAGTAGTAGGAGTCGTAGTAGTAGTAGTAGTAGTAGCAGCAGTAGTAGTAGTAGTAGTAGTAGTAGAAATAGTGGTGGTAGTAGTAGTAGTAGTAGTCGTCGTCGTAGTCGTAGTAGTAGTATTAGTAGTAGTAGTAGTAGTCGTCGTCGTCGTAGTAGTCGTAATAGTCGTAGTAGTCGTAGTCGTAGTAGTAATAGTAATAATAGTAGTCGTAGTGGTAACCGTAGTAGTAGTAGTAGTAGTAGTAGTAGTAGTAGTAGTCGTAGTAGTCGTAGTAGTAGTAGTAAGTAGTAGTAGTAGTAGTAGTAGTAAGTAGCAGTAGTGATAGTGTAAGTATGTAGTAAGTAAGTAGTAGTCGTAGTAGTAGTTCGTAGTCGTAGTAAGTGTAGTAGTAGTAGTAGAAAATCGTCGTCGTAGTCCGTAGTCGTAGTCGTAGTCGTAGTAGTGGTCGTAGTCGTAGTACGTAGTAGTGTAGTAGTAGTCGTAGTGTAGTAGTAGTAGTAGTAGTAGTAGTAAATTAGTAGTATTAGTGGTAGTAGTAGTCGTCGTCGTCGTTGTAGTAGGACGAGTAGTAAGTAATAGTAGTTACATCGTCGTAGTAGCTAGTAGTAGTAGTAGTAGTGGTGTTGGTGGTGGTGTGATGGTGGTGGTGGTGGTAGTCGTAGTCGTAAGCCGTCTAGTAGAAGTATAGTAGGTAGTAGTAAGTATAGTAGTAGGAGTCAGACTAGTAATCGTAGTCGTAGAAGTAGAAAAGTATGTCACAGTAGTAGGCGTAGTAGTAGTAGTAGTTAGTCGTAGTATAGTAGCATGGTCGATAGTGCAGTCGTATTAGTAGTATAGTGGTAGTAGTAGTCGTAGTCGGGTATGTAGTCGTAGTAGTAGTAGTATAGTCGTAGTAGTAGTAGTAGTAGTAGATTCGTAGTCGTTCGTTAGTCCGTCCGTCGTCGAGTAAAGTAATTAGTAGTAGATATAGTAGTAGTAGTACTAGTAGCTTTAGTAGTCGTAGTACTAGTGGCTAGTAGTAGAGTAGTATCGTAGTACCAGTAGTAATAGTAGTAGAAGTAGTAGTAGTAGTAGTAGTAGTAGTAGTAGTAGTAGTAGTCGTAGTAGTAGTCGTAGTCGTAGTCGTAGTCGTAGTCGTAGTCGTAGTCGTAGTCGTAGTCGTAGTCGTAGTAGAACATCAGTAGTAGTTTTGTTAGTATTAGTAGTAGCCCTAGGAGTAGGAGTAGAAGTAGGAGTCAAGCTAGCCAGCTCGAGCGAGTCAAGCATGGCATGCCCAGTCCCACCCGCCCTCCCACAACATAAGAAGCAAAGCTGGCACAACTGGGGGCCGAAGTCACACCGGCCAGCCGGTTTGGTACAGCTGATGCGGCCGCGATGGCGGTTGCCGACGGGAACTGGCGAGCGCGTGTTGCATGCCGCGCACGCATTGCCAGACGAGTCGAGAATGGCCCGGTACACCGCAGGAAGCCAGAGGTGGCCGGAGGAAGCCCGACGGTCTGACAGGACACCCCAACGCATTTTTGTGAAAAAGCATTGGGTTTTTGATGTTTTTATGTTGAAATGCTTGCAAAAACACGGTATTCGGTAGGATTCTGACATGAACGCGCGAGTGTGCTCTTTGTTGTATTTTTTGCACAGGATTCGCGGCCTGGGTGCATGACAGAGCATCGCGAGTGCACCGCGCGCTGACGTGAAATCGCTGGATTTGACCGAATTCTTAAGATTCCTATGGTTTTCCTATGATTTCAGCAAGAGAGCCCGGGCGGGAAATTTGTACAATTTTTGTGAAAAAGCATTGGGTTTTTGATGTTTTATGTTGAAATGCTTGCAAACACACGGTGTTCGGTAGGATTCTGACATGAACGCGCGCGTGTGCTCTTTGTGGTTTTTTTTGCAATGGATTATCGCCGTGGACGACAGGACGTCCATGTCGAGAGGAAAAAATAAGAAAAATGTTGATTTTGTATTGTTTTTTACAGGTTAGGATGGGATCACC